AAATCACATTTTAATCAGAGATTTAACATGTGATTGTTGTTGGCACAATATGCATGTGTTTTTCCTTATATATGCGTGTGAAATTTACCACCACACCACCAAGCTATTCCATTTTTTTGGTCTTAAAACTATAAACTAAACAACGTTAGAGCCCTCTGAACTTCTGTCGTACATTTAAGATGTTGCAAGGTTTTTGAAATTATAACAATGTACACAAAAATTAAAAATATAAGATTCTGTTCATGTGTTAATATGGCAATACTTTTTAGATGTTAGTGTTTAGGTCTAGCCTCGTCAAGTATTCAACAAGGCCAGAGTGGGAGCAACAGTGATAACCACCCAAGATTTGAAGCAGAGTGAGCTCTTCCAAAATAAAATAAATTATTCAGTAATCGGAGTTTAGGTGGGATCCTAAATTAAGATTGTTTCTCCTACGTGTATTGAGGTTCATTTGCATTTATTATTAGCTTGTCGGTATTAGAGCCAAGGGGATTGTTAGCGAGATTGCCTCACAGGAGAGAAAGAAGTTCTCTGTCTGGCTCCTCATTCTCATTTTGGGTATGAAACTCAGGTTTATTATGTTTCACGCACAGTACTTTCTTGCCACTTTTGGTTGCTCCAATTTAGATTGAATTTAGATTGCATCAGTTTAGAACATGGGGACAGAACTTAGGTAAGTTATATTTTATCTTTGTGCAATTTATTAATGAAATTTTGGAGAATTAATAAGGAAATATATTAGAAGGGTTTCAATCACTTTAAGAGAAGGTTTTTACAAATGCCCAGATGTAATTTGTGTGAATGTAGATAAACGGTCTGCAGAAATTATCATTTGGATATCACTGAGCTTTAGAGAAAAATGAGGGCCCTAATTTAGATGTGGCAGCATGAACCCTTATAATAGGAGGGTCAGTGCAACAGCAGGGACCCAGCAGATGTTAATTCCAATCTTATCATACTACTAAACTAGGGGCTTTTACAGGGTCTGCACCAGGTTCAGAAGCATCAAGTAAAAGTTAAGGGAAAAGGTATGACGTATCCTGAAACCGCTCAATCTGAGCAAAATCTGAGCTCAGTGACATTGAGAAAATCCAGCAGCCAGTGCACACCATGACAGATAATGTGGCACAGAGATTCAAGCCAGTATGAGAAAAAAAGATATCAAAGAATTACAGGAGCTTATAAAGACCATATATCCTACCGACTCTAGTCTGCTGAGATAACCCATCACAACTTGAACATGGACCCACTTTTGGTCCATGATACTTGTCAGTTATCCTGCAAGAGGTAGACTAAGCACATAAATGGTCAGCACCCAATTAGGAAAACATTTCTCTCACTTTTAATTTCATGACTTACTAACATCTCCTGTAGAAAATTCTCCAACTTCAAATAATAAGATATGATAGTCCTCCATGGTAGAATGGAGTATGTTGGTTTTAAAAATAAATTATTTAAAAATGACTTCTATCATCTGCATGAAATAAAGTTTCAATATTTAAAATAAAAAAAAAAGAGAAGGTTTTCAGAGAGAATCTGATATATTCTTTGCTGAAATGCAAAATGGAGTTAGCTGTAAATGGATTCCTCTGCAGGAATGTGTAGTATGTAAGAGCTCTAGCTTTAAGTTCAGTGAGGGCTTAGTGGTAAAATAATGTCATTATTTATTAGGGATTTTTCCCAATTTATCATCAGATTTTAATATCAATCCAGGTGTTGCCACATACATAGCTGTTTGATCTTGGGCAAGTTATATAATCTCTCATAACTTCAATTAATTTTTTCTGAAATATGAGTAATATAAGTACTTTTCTCAAGGGTTGTTTGAAAGACTAAATTAGATAATGAATCTAAGCTTTTTGTATTAATGCCTACACATCCTAAGCACGCAATATGAGTTAGGTATTAATTTTTTGTTGTAAAATTATAGTACTGCTTTTCTACTTGGAAGTACATATTTTAACATGTATTTAAGATATAGTAAATTCTTTGAAAAAATGCATACATATTTTTTAAACTGTAATATAGGTTTTATTAATTCATTCTTCCTTGCTCTCCAATGAGTTTGAATCTGATATGATTATAATACATACACATAAAGGGCTATCTTTGACTTATTTCTTGGTTGAGCACAATAATTTGTATGTAAATATTTTTTTAGAATATTTTATATTAATAATGAATAAAAATATAAAGAGAGTGAAAGAGTTGAGAATTGGGAGACATGAAACCTGGGTTTTATATCTAGATCAATTTGTCCTTTGGCAAATTATTTAATCTGTTGGGGTTTCAATTTCTTCAGACTTTAGAGAAGAAACTTGTACTGACTGATTTTCATGGCCATTTATAGTTAGTAAATTATAATTCTACAATAAACTCAGAAGAACCCTATTTTCAAAATTATACTATTTAACTACTGGCAATGTCTAATTTCATATCTCTTTGCTTCTATTTATTTTTTCCACTTCATACAAAAGAATGCATGATTCCTTTATTTTGAAGTTGATTATTTTTCTAAAATCTTGAAGTATTAGGCTATCCAGTGACCTTAAACAATACCTAGCTCCACTCAGCCAGGACATTCTAGTTTTTGAGAAGACCAATTTAATATACCTGGGGAAGACCCAACTCTGTCATTTTCTCTGAAAGGGAAATTATATAAATTATCATGCAAAACAACTTGTACTGTCCTAGTAAAAGTCATTTTCCATTTTATTTTTAAAATTAAGACAGAATTTGAAAGCGCTACTAATTTTAATTGAAGGGATATTTTACCTTGTGTTTTCTGTTCAATGAAATATCATGTGTTAAAGAACTTGTTTGTTCATTACTACAATTTAATCACCCTAATAAAAATTACATATGTATTTATACACATATAATTCCAAAATTATATATTCCTAATTTTGAATGGAGATACCTGATAAAGATAGAAAAATAAGTGAAGAATAGAAATACATCTTTCATGAAGCTATCAATATTTATTTTATTTAGATTCTGTTAATTTGGTCCCTACAACCAGAAGAAGGTCCTAATAATATAATTTATAAAGGTGTGAACATTCACTTCTATTTGAATAATGCTAGCTACAATCAAATAAATTTGGTTTTGTTTTTCACAATGGAATGTTCTCGTTCCAGTTTTTCCCACAACCACCTTTGCCTCAAAACATAATTCAATTGAGAAGGACAACTCCCATGCGATTTAGGTTATACTTTTGAACCATTCTGTGGCCACCTTGTAATCAGACAGTGATTTTGAAGCTTTAATATATTTTTGGTTCTGGGCTAAACTAACTTATCTGTATTCAGTGAAATACAAAATGAAATGAAGAAGCAATATGAGTTTTGAAATTATATTTACATTTTTATGATAATTTTTTTTAGGTTTAACTCATTTGACTCTCCTCTGTTTTCCCAACACGCACATGCACACACACACAGCCCTAGCTTTCTAATTTCCTTCTCAAAACGCTTTTGCTGCATTTTCCCTGCCACTTCAAGGGGACTGTCTTCTCTTTCTTTTGCAAAACGAACATTTCAAATATCCTGACACTTTATTGTCAAAGTTGTCTAACGATCATTTCAGACATCTCACAAGGGTAGCAGGTGGAGACTGTATGATATATCTTTCCTACCTATTGTCTACAGAGGTTACTTTGGAGGTGGAAGCGTGAGGAAGTTGGCTGAGGTAGCTACAGAAATTACCTCGTAGTTCAAGAAAGGTCAGAGCCTGGTCTCTCTCTACAGTACAGAAATTCCACTGAACAGTATCTGTTTAAACATTGTGGTCTGAATTGAGCTGTTCTGGAATATTGTTTGAGACATAAACTCCATGGATCAATTTGCTGAAAAGCACATTTTACATGCCAGTGTTAGCAAAATGAATCAAGTACCATAAAGGCATGCTCAGATTCATTTACAAAAAACAAAAAAGGTCTTTATTCGTTCAGAGGTTTCTAAATAATGGCATCTGTACATATTTTAGATTGAGGCTTTGAAAACCCTAAGGTGTCATGCCACCATTTAAGCGAAATTCCAGAAAGACACTTTTATTTTGTAATTTCATATTTTGCTATCTTATCTGATTTAATTTTCATGTTATTTATCGTTCATTTGCTTATCTTTACTTTAAAAACTCCTGAATGTCATAAGTACTTCATCTTTCACTTAGATGATTTTTCATGTAATTATGGGAAAAGAGCATAAAAAACTTTTCCAATTATCACAAATGATATGAAGAGTCGCAAACAATTTATAGTTAATTAGGAGCTTAGTTGGGGCATTAATTAATTTGTATGTGGCTACATAGATGATGGATTTCTAAATGTACCTATTAAATTAATATTAACTCATATTTTGTAAATAAAAGATGGAGACACATACATATCTGAAATCTAAAATATCAGATTTTTGTTATATCAAAACGGTTCTAGGACTGACTTTTTACTTTGTACTTAAAGTAAGTACTTGTTAAAGGATTTAATTATATCAATTGTATCAACTTAGACTGTAAATGTTCATAATAGCTCATATTAAGATTGACATAGTCTGAGTGTCTGTCAGTTTTTCCAATTATGTTTCAGCCCTGTCATTTGTTTTTGTTTTGTTTTGCCACATGTTTTAAAAGAATTAAAGGATTTGTTTTATTTGCAAAACCCAGTCAGCAGTTTTTCCACTGCCTGTTCAAACTCCAGCTTAATGGCCCAGACTAAATACTTGTGACCATGGAGTTATGGGACTGAATGATGAATCTGTGTAGCAAATATAGCTTTAACCTCTGACTAGCTTTCATTTTTCACCTTTGCAATTTCCATTTCCTCTTTTATTGGATAAGTTTAGTTGAAATAAATGGCTACTCCTGCACATCCTGTGAGCTCTTCTGAGAGTAGCATTTGCCTTTAAATGATACTGTTAATAATTTTTTCATGTTTTCTCTCTCTCTCTCTCTCTCTCTCTCTCTCTCTCTCTCTCTCTCTCTCTCTTTTCTTTTTATTTTAGTCTCGACCTATTCCTTCCCACCTTACTTCAGCAGTTGCAGAGAGTATCTTGGCTTCAGCCTGTGAGAGTGAGAGTAGAAATGCCGCGAAGAGGATGCGTCTGGATAGACAACAGGTACTGACGCGCCTTGGGGTGTGGTGTAATTTAGTCTGACTTATGTAGAAGAGCAAAAATTCTTGAATGAATTTTGAAGTACACAAACAGAGTTTTTGTATCTATGATAAGAATTTCAACTTAAAAATGCATGTTAATGAGATCCACGAAGATCCAAGAGCAAAAATTTTCTGTGGTGAACAATGGACAGTTTAAAATTAATGCATTCTAGCTCTGCTCAGTATCCGGTGTGAAGGCTGATTACTTATTGAAATAAGAGACTCTAATTGGTAGTTTTTTAAATTTACCTGATCATTTATGAAAATAACATGACTGCTCATTTTGAATGAAAATGAACTTTAATTTCCTGTGGTCTACTGGTAAATATCAATAGATTGTGCTGGGAATGATGAAAGCACAAAATAACTTGAAAGACTAGAAAGCCATAAAATTGGGGTATAAAATAATGGAAATCTATGTCCAGGGCTTGCTTCCTCATTAATGAGTCATTTACTATGTACTCATTAAGTATCACCTTCCTTTGTCTTTTTTCTAAGGATGTATATCCATGTGGTATAGATATGTGTATTTTTTATGTATTGTTCACTAATGTTTCACTCTGTTTTTCCCTTGGTTTATCTGCATTAGTCTGTCTCCTCATGTCTGGAATATGTTTCTGTGTTTTTCTCTCCAGCCCTCTTTCTTACTTATCAATAATAAATAACTAACTCAATATATAATATTAAGTATTACACATAAAATTATGCTGTATTATGATTCTTACATTATTTTTACAACAAATGATCCAGGTGCTTCATATTTCTAATTGAGGTTGGGATGAGAAGACTAAATTATTAATCCAATTTTATTTTTCCCATGAGCCAATGAGCTTCAAAGAAATAGAAAAAGGTTTTCTATTCCAGGTTTAGCATAGTGAAAAATGTTTCAAAATGGCATAATTTTTAAATTTATGTGCTTATTATTAATATGGCATGTGCTAATAATTCTTAATGCAAAAGATGAAAGCTTTAGTTAAATAAAAAAATTAGTCTCAGATCAAAAGTATATGAAAAAGCTGATTTTGAGTTGGCTAATCATTCTTTGCCAGCAGTCTTTATTGACAGATATATGTCCTCAGTTGAGACTTCTATCATTATTATAACTCTAAAATTTATCATACTTAAAATGAGTTATATGCAAGACCATCTAGCATAGTGATTAAGATTGCACATCCTGGAGTTCAGTACATCTGGTTTTGATTCTCAGCTTTATCTTTATTATTGTATGACCTCCAGAAACCTACTCCAGTCCTCTGTGCCTTGGTTTTTCATATGCAAAATAATATAATATAATAATAGTCTATAGGGTTGTTGTGAGAACTCTAAATGACAGATTTATGTTATGTACTTAGCATTTTGCCTGGCATATAATAAGCATCAATAAATTCAGCGTAGAAAAGAATATTTCAGCTGATGTTCTAGCTTTTCTGTCAGTGAACTGATGTAAGTAAAACTAGAAAGAAGCATTAATGGTACTATCTCATATATAGGAGTTTTGAAGTCAGACTAAGTCTATTTAAGAAAAGATCATAATTATTGAAATTAGAATGATAGAATTCTGGGACTGAAGGGGCTTTCCTGGTTGTTGCCTTGACAATATACCGGGGGTGCCAAAAAAAATGTATACAAGTGGACACTTCGGTCAACATTGCTCAAGCAGTAGTTCGCCAAAATCAGAAGTGTCTGGACCCTGATGGTAACCACTTTGAGCACCTCTTGTAATTGCAGAAATCAAATGTGACTTGTATTCATCTTTTGTTAATGGTGTATGTTGAGTATTACAATTTCAATACAGTTTTCCTTTCTTAAAATGTGTATACATTTTTTTGGCACACTCTGTATATATTCTACCAAGCCTATATTCTAGAATATCCCTGTATAGTAAGTCATAAATCCATTAGGTTATGAAAATTAAATGACTGATTCATGTTACGTACTTACTACCACTAGCTATGATATCACTCTACAAAATCCCCCAAAGCTGGTCGTCTTCCGCTAATATGTGGTCAATTACTTGACTACTGTTCTCCTAATCTGTAAAATGGGGATACAAATATCAAATTCATAGGTTTATTTTGAGGATTTAATAAGGCTGAGCATATGAACGCATACTGCATTTAATAAGTTTATATATTGTTAAAGATAGATTATATTCCCCATTTTCTTGAATACCTCAAGTGATAGGACAATCTCACCTCCACTAAAGATCTACTATTTACTAAAACATGTATCCTATTGTCAGAGAGCTATAATCATTCTGATTGTCTTTAAACTGAGCTCAAATTTGCTTCCTAGACCTTCTATCCATTGAAGAACAGTTGCTAGAGATATTGAGGCATGTGACTTCTTACTACAGTCTTGGGAGTAGGTCATGGAAGGGGTGGGGACCAATGATCCTTGACCCTACTTCCCATGTTAACTGTTTCTTTTTCTATGTCCTTATACATAGTAGTCACTTATTGCAAGGTTCTGTCACCTGGGATTGGAGGATGTCCAATATTGCACCCATAGAAATATTCTTTCCAGGCCCTAGAAGGGTTCAGTGGGCTTGGGATTCATGGGGGAAATGGAAGAAATGACAAAGAAAATACATTCTATGGTTTATTGGAAACCAAATAACTTTACTTTTTTTTTCTTCATTTAGTATTTTCAACAACCCCATGAGAGCAGGTATTAATATTCTCCTTTATATATGAGGAAACTGAGGCTCAGAGAAGTGGGAGGATTTGTACAAGGTTGCTCAGCTGCCTGGGCAGTCGTGGTATAAGTTCATATCATGTGAGGCCAACTCTTGACATCTCTCCATGATCCTATACCTTTTAATTATGTTCACTGAGGGAAAGCCATGTTCAGGTGAAAATTCCTCAGACTCATATCATTTGTGCCTCTGCTCACAAAACTGACAGTTTCTGTTAGAAAACTGTCTGCTTTATTCACAAAGATTTTTGCCCTCTTCCATAACTAGTAACCCAGGTTTCCCCAGTAAACAAGATATTTATTCAAAGCATGATGTATTTTGTCTTGATATGAGCTTGAAAAGGTTATAAACTTCCCACCAAGTGCTTCACGTCATCCAGAGAATGGGTAATGCACTGTGAACACTGATTTAGTGGGGTTTTTTTGGAGGGTTTTTTTTTTTAGTATTTAATGTATTTTTAGTAGTTTAATATATTAAACAGATAGTTTAAAATAGCTAAACTATTTCTTCTTACTGTGACTTCTGTAAGTTTCATTTGGCATGCCACACAAAAGCTTCTAACAAGTGATTTTTCACTTCCTACCAAAGAATGGAGATGGGGGAGCCCTCTCCTAATTAAATCTAAGCCTTCTTTTTGCCCAAGTACAGATAGCCAGAGGTCTTTTGGGTGTTGCCAATGAGATCATCGTTTGCTGTGAGCACTCTTAACCCAACTCACAATTCTTAGAATTTGCTGATGACTCAAATTCTTCACTATGCCCCTGCTTTTTTGTAGATGCATGAAAGTTCAAAAACTGGACAGTTAACCCTGGATTCTGTTAAGCCACATGTCTGACTACTTGCTGCCTATGGTAGCTACATGCAGGGCTGGAAATATGTGTGCCCTTCTGCATTTATGAAGCTTGATGAATTAATTGGATTTTATAAAGTTCTTTGAGCTGTGAACATGAAAGGAATTATAGATGTGTTAAATACCTTATTTCATACATCCACCTCGCACCAGAATCCAGAGGAGGCTTGCTATTATGCAGCCTCAGCCCTGAAGCAAGCCAGGGGCAAGGACAGACACCTTCTGCTCCATCAGGAATCCGATTTTACAGAACCGAGGTCAATCCCCAATGAGTGATAGAATATATTCAGCATTGCTTTTCATTTAACATGAAAATCTGGAACCGTTATGTTATCTAGGAAGTGCTTTCTGACTTTGACAATTCAAAAGGATGGGCAATGTCAGCGTTCTATGGCATACATTTAAAAGTGGTCTTTTTCTCTACCTTTATTATTTGGATATTATTTCATTACTATTTTCTTAAAAACAAAGATATCTCAAGGTTCTTGATTACAATTTATCTAATCAGAGACAGAAGTAGAAAGCAAGAGAGAGTAGATGCAGCCAATTACTGGTGATTTGTCTCCCCTTGGTGTGCATTTTTTTGCTGTTGTTGAGACATGAAATACATTTTATTCCTAGGCTGGCTGAAGTTTCTGAATAATGTGAGGGTTTCTTTGGTGTGTCTTCTCTATTTGGTTCATTCAGTCAAATTAGTTTATAGTTCTATTGAAGGGACCACATAAAACCAATGGCCTCGGGTTTCCTCAGCAGCAACACAATGGGTATGGTCCTCATGAAAGACAAGGCAGCATGAGGGCTGGGTGACTGAATTTTTGCAGTGACTAGGACAGATGTGATGTGACATTTAGGCTCTATTGAAAAGACCAGTGTGGGGGGATAGAGGATATGGCATGTTAGTTGTTTGTGACATAATAAAAGGTGAGAATACAAGAAATAAAAGGTGAGAATACAAGAAATAAAATACTGAAAACTGGTATATCTCTAAGTTAAAAAAAGAAAATCACTGCTAGTAAACCAGCATGAAAACATGGCCCAGGACCTAAAAATATTTAGTAAGCCCATAGTTTCTGCTACTCTGTTTTTTCTTTAGTACTGGTGAATTCACTGTGACCTGTATCTCTTTGTAATTTTTCCTTTGTTGTGTTAGAGTATTAAGGAGTCAGCATATTATTAAAAGCAATGTAATTGTAGGTACAGAGATTTGAAATATAGCCAGATAAATTGTGGCAATTTTCATACAGACTTTTTATTTTGTCATGGATGTATTTGAAAACTATCTGAAATAACATGGTCAAGACAATTTTTTAAGAGAGATCCAAGATAGTGGAGTAGACAAATGTTTGCTCCCTCCATGAACACATTAAAATTACAACTAAATTATAGAACAGTCAACCTGGAGAACCATCTGAAG